TGTGTACTTGATCCTATGTAGTTCTCTAAATGTACTTCACTCTGATGTACTTCACTCTGTGTACTATGCTTTGTATGCTGCCTCTGTGTACTTGATCCTATGTAGTTCTCTAAATGTACTTCACTCTGATGCTACTCTGCTCTGTATGCTGACTCTGTGTACTTGATCCTATGTAGTTCTCTAAATGTACTTCACTCTGATGCTACTATGCTCTGTATGCTGACTCTGTGTACTTGATCCTATGTAGTTCTCTAAATGTACTTCACTCTGATGTACTTCACTCTGTGTACTATGCCTTGTATGCTGCCTCTGCGTACTTGATCCTATGTAGTTCTCTAAAAGGCTTCGCACGGAAGAACCCTTCGCGATGCTTTCGGGAAAACTGTACTTTGTCGTTGTGGTTTTTCGTCCTTGAACAAAGATTGTCGCGCAACCTCAACCAGGAGATGACGCCACACGCTCACTTGCGTGCGGCCGTTTCACCAGTCTTTGAAGTCCTTCTCTCTGGTGGCTATTCGGGTGTAGCTGCACCTACCCTGCTGGGCTTCTTTCACGGTAGTCTCATTGTTGTCTCTGCCACAGTCTTGCTCATGCCTCGTTCTCGGCCATCTCCTAGCGGTCCTAACGGCTCCGCATGGGCTCAGAAGGTGCAGGTAGGTCGGAGATCTCCCTCGTAAAGGGTCAAGATGATCACTCGAAGCTGCCGCGGGTCAGTTCGGATTTTGAGGGCTGGCGTGAGGACCGCGAAGACATGCCCCTATATAGGAGGGCTTACCAGCGAAGTAAGGTTCCGTCATTCACGGCCCAAAACAAGACTTGACGCTCGCGAGGCGGGGCACGGCCTGCAAGCCAACCCTTATGCCCTTATGCAACAAAGAGACAGCCGCCAAAGCAAACGTATGGCACTTGCGCCGACATGAAGATACTCTCCTAACAATCGCCGCACTCCTAGCTCTGACGCCAAAACACTTTTCTTCGTCGCGCGGACGTGTAGCGCTGCATGCGCCGTTCGGCGCGCAGGTTCAGGTCCTACCAAGCGGCAGTGGATCTGCATGGTGGCCCTGACCTCCGCCGCCTCCACCGATGCGTCGACATCACGTTGGCCGCCGAGGCTGCGTCGTTGATCTCAGCGATCTGATCCGCCGACAGCAGCCCGACCACCGGCACGTAGCCCATCCACCAAGCAGCGGACAAAGCCGCTGTCAGCTGCGACGCCGCCGCAGCGCCTCCGTGAGGCATCGGAGAAAGCCATGGCCAGAGGCAAGTGCCGACCGAATAGGGCTAGAGTTAAAAGCTTAAGACGTCGAAGACGCGTCGAGCCAGAGTGCTGAAGGCAGCTACGCCGTTCGCGGTTGATACCTCGCACAAAAGTGTGCTACACTGCACTCTCTCTCACTTCTTTCCGCAGGCTTAGCGGCTTAACGGACCCCACATGCACGGGCCTGTTTTGCCTGATTCCCTTGAGGCCTTGCTCACCCTCTAGGACTCTAGGAGCTGCCCTAGCGGTTGCGTCGGGCTGTCCTCGTGCCAATCGATTGAAGGTCCCCGTACCTTGGGACATTGAAAGGTGCGTGGAACTTGCAGCTGACTGCCTTGGGTCCAGGTGGGGTGCGGGTCGAAGCCTTCAACTTCTCCAACCTGGCATCCACTGCTTGGGTGCTGTGCAGCCGCTGCACACATTTCGAATCTGCAGGCCTGTGTAGGAGGCCCCGGCGGAGATGACCGCGGCATTCCCTGGAAAGCCTCAGAAACCTGCCAGGCGACAGGAGTTGTCGCGACTCGGAAGGGAGACCGCTTGCTGCGACTCACAGTGACACGGCACTTGCAGCAGGAACCGACAAGCCAGTCAGCCGAACCGAGCGAGCCATTGATCATCCTGCTCGGCGCCCCGCATCGGGCCACACCATCTTCAAAGCGACATGGCGTTCCCAATGAGGCAGCCTGCCAAATGTCACGTAAGCACAGCAGCTGGCTAGCTGCTCGCCAGAGACTTGTGCCTGATCAGAAGTTCCTCACCATTTGGGAAGAAGCCCTGCAACAAGAACAGGCTTCAGATTATATAGGCTGAGACAGCCCAGGTTCAGGACCCGGAATAGATTCGAAGCTACAAGGCATGGACCCGAAGCGGGTGCAGAATGAATTGTTGTGCATGCCCAGCCTGCGTAAACCAATCACGCATCGTCGCTTGTGCGAATGGTCCGAATTCCTGGCTGAGTGAGCGATAAAACACTGCTCACCTGGCAGAGTCTTGGGCGAAGCCTTCTGGACGCTGTCGAGGTAATACCAGGATAGGCCTTCTCTAGCAAACAAAAGGATAACATTGTCGTCCTTGCCAGGAGCCGGCAGGCCACCTCCACTATCAGGAACACTTCCATCCATGGCACTCACCTTCCACAGGGGAGACATCGCGTGCCCCGCGACAACGTCACCAAAAGGAGCAAGCGTGGGCCTCTCGCACCGCTCAATCCGTGGTCTTGACTTCATCAGCAAGTATTACCAACTCAGTTTTGAATCTTTCTAATATGGACATAGTTCCTATGTGTCGAGTTTAGTAGGCGTAGGCACTGCAAAAGAGACTTACAATCGTCTGTATCCACACCCATCTCCACATGTTCCCGCAAAGCGGCACTGGAGCCACTTCGTCTGCGGTACGAGTATTGGCAGTTGTCACTGCTCGCCAAAGCATTCAGAAGTTAGCAAGACACTGGAGTAGAGGCACTTCTTCAACTGGAAAGCAAGAGCAAATGTGATGTTCCGTCCGTTTTGCAAGACTTTCAGCATGCGGATTCCAGTCACGTTGCCTGCGCCCTCCTCAGCTTTGATTTTTCCATTTTCTCCACAGCTCGGTCTCCACGTTGTCAAGAAGGAACTCGTGCAAGATCATCTCAAGGTTGTCCTCGCATGGAACTACAGACTGGGCTTTCTTGCTGGCCGAAGGGTGACTAGCAACAAAGCAATGCGTTGGCAGATGAAAAGCAGGGTCCTGTTCTGTTTTGTAGACTTTGGCAGGGTCTGGTCCACCACCCGGCATCATTGGGGCGCCACCCATCGTTCCCATCCTTACGGACAACGAACTTGCAAGTTCAAGGCACGGCTGCTTGCCATGGAGATCGGCCAAGTCGCATGGCCATCATCGGATCATCAGCTTCAACGTCTGACTTGGTGAAGAACGACTGCACCAGCCCTATGAGGCTATGACTGCTCATCATTACAAACCTTGGCTGGCACTCAAGCTCGGTGAGACTGCAAAAAGCTGTGTTGATTGATCAGGCAAAGAAGCATATACCAGCAGAGTGATGAAACGTAGCCTGGCTCCAAGGCAGTGACCTCGACACCTCTCTGCAGCATTCCCTGGGCAGAAACAGGGGATGCATTTGATCTTGTGGCTTAGACCAAGTCGGCCCGCCTTGAATTGAAAGGTCAATGGAAAAGGGGTTTTCGCAACCAGGAAGCCGGAGAAGAGGTGGGAGACCCAATAAGCTAAGAGTCCCTGAGACACCATGAAGACCATCTGGCCCTTCATCATTCCCATCATCGCCATGGGATCAGAGCCTCCCTGCAAAGCCTCCATTGGGTCCTTCGCTTTGGGCACAGATTTCACCAGGACACCGACATCTTTTTTGACAAAATAGGCTTTCCGAGATTTGAAAGCCTTCTCGGTGAGAAAATGCGATGCTGCTCTCAGCATTTTGCATCTTCCAAGCATGCTCTGTGTTTTGACCTCCTTCACATCGACTTTTGGCTCGGCCTTCAACAAGATCATTAGGCTCGACCGAATCATAGAGGTCAGAACGACCACAATAAATATCGGAAGCAGGACATTGTTTCGAATTTTGGGATCCAGAAAGATCCCCATCCACGACTGCGTCACGGAGGTCCAAAATGCCTCCTGACCAAACGGAGCGGCTGTGCCTTTGGAGCCAAACGGCGACAGCTTGTTCGTGTCACACGTCGAAACGGCCTCATGTCTTAATGTTACCAGCGCCCTCCCCACCTCCCCAGTTACTCGCCAAAAGTAGTGTTTTTTTCATAAAATTCGCGAGATCGCTTGAACTCAACAGGCACAACCGATTGACCACGGCCTTGAATACGTCGTGAATACGTCAACACAATAAATCCTCGAAAGAGACAACAGCACGGCCCAACGCCGGTGCCGACCACCCAGAGATCTGCCTCCGGCTCCATGCTGTCACTCAGATGCACTGAAATGAAGCAGGAACCCATGTGGAGTGGAGAATCGTGATCTAAGAAGCATGCCCGGTGTCCGACATGTGCCTCTTAGTCGTATGCGTCGAACAATTGTGTCGGCATCTACGCCTCATTGAGTCAAAACCCGGTCCCAGTTCGTCAGGCTGCAGTCAAGTGTATCCACGCGTCACTGCCGAAGAGATAGAGCAGATGACAGCTGATTGCTGATGACAAGCCAAGCGTACAATTCATAATTAGGGCCTGCTCCGGATGAAAGACACAAAACACCAGCAAAGGCGAAGCGCGATCCTGCAGGCGTGGAATGGCGCGGATGCCTCCAATGTGAGCTACTTGAAAAACTGTGCAGAAAGCGCCGCAGGGGCCAAACTGTCTTCTTGTCTTGCTCTGAGGCCATGAAGGCTCCCTACTTTGTTATAGTACGAACACTTTTCCAGCACGCCAGGCCAGAATGACGAAAGATCAGCAGCTTTGCTGACAGGGAAGCTACAGTAGGACTGCCGAATTCAGCCGAATTACCCTCACCCGCAATTTTCCCTCAACTGCATCGCGTCACCACAGAGGACCTCAATCCGTTGCAGCGCATCTAGAATCTGGTCCCAACACGTGCAACACGACTTGCAGCTGGGCCACTGCCCTGGTTCAAGGTATGTGCAGCTCGGCGCATGGGCAGGAACGCCTGAGGGTCCTTCACAACGGCAAAGTGCAAAGACAGCTCTCCCTTAAAAAGTATCGCGACCCGTGCCTCGCCGTTCTCCCTGAAAGTGGCACCGCTTGTCAGGTTGTCCCTGGTAGCTGGAGCTGGGCTTTCACAACCACCGCAGTTGGTGACAGGGCCTGATCTCAATGAATCGGCGCCCGCCTGCGGGAGCCTTGCCGAGCTCCGAAACAAGCATGGTTCGAGCAAGAATCGGTGCCGAGGCTGTCGCTTCAACTTGCGCCTGGCCCAATCCTTTGAAGTTGTCCTGAAAACAGTTTTTCCAGCAACAAAGAAGCTTGTCTAAAGACTGAACTGATCATGACTGTACTACCGCAGTCCTTTCCGGAAGCTATGTATCTCTTTCGAACGTCCTGGCGGAAACAATCCAGGTCCTTTCACTTTCCTAAACAATTCCATCGTTGCGACCAGTTCCTCCGGGCTGCGAGTGCGTCGCGCACCTTCTGGCCGGGGGATCCAGCTCCGAAGATTATTCGGGTGCTCCGCATTCCGCATCCGGCCTGCAGCATCAGAGATCTCAGCAGAGGTCTCCGTTTCCTGCCACGGTGGTGCACCCTCAAATGCGAGAGCTGGATGTTGGACCAGGGCCGCAGGATTACAGGAAGCATGCACCCGCATATGTTGCTAGAAGCCTGGCGTTCATCGAAATGGTGAGACAGCTACATCTTTCTTGTCCAAGCCTTTTGATTGTGCATGATTGCATGCCCCACAGGCCCACAGCAGCAGACGCTGGTTAAGGGGCGAATGCGTTCCGGGGAGGACAGAACGACACACTAGACCACAATGGCATCAACTCATCTCCACGCTTTGCTTCCCAAGCCCGAGCACGTCAGCTGCGGCCAATCTTGCTCGACAGGATACCAACAGAATCTTGTTTGAGAGGATGCCTCTGCATTCCTGGCGATGTACTGTCCAAGCAACTGAGCACCATGGAGCCGCGTGCCGGGGTGCGACACACAGAGACCAGACGGCTACGGGGCTGCAACACGGACGCTTATTTCCGTGCCGGGGGTGTCACCAGTAAACTGAGCAGGGCTCGCCTTGGACCCGAGGCTCTCGTGAACACCTCATTCTGGCACAAACGGCCACAGCTGTTGGTTTGTCAACTGCCGTGGATATCAAGCAAATTCGCATGAGCATGAAGGTCTTGTGTGTAGGAGCCCCTCTGCACAAAAGGGCACTTTGGTCGCCATGCTGGTGCATGTTTCGTGTTTATGTCCACGTTTGCTGCCTCACGTACGTTGATCTTCCCTTTTCCCGGATTCTACGATAGTTGGAACCAAATCGCACTGACAACGGGCGAAAGTCCGAGTTGTCAGGCTCGTCCTAAAGTTGAGGTTCTTTGCTCAACGAAGTTCGGCAGTCGCATCAACGAAATCTGAATCAACAGAAATCTTCGGCATGCGTCTGTCTGTCGGTATCTGTCCGTGATTGTCCAGGTCTGTCTCTGGCTGTCCGTGTCTGTCTGTGTCTGTCCGTCGTCTGTCTGTCTTTCCGTTCGTGCGTCTGTCTGTCTGTCTGTCCGTCCGTCCGTCTCTTTGTCGGTCTCTGTCTGCATCTATCTGTTTCTTTCCCTCTCTCTACCAGGCATGAAAGAAGCCACGGCCCGGCGCCCCCTTCTCGCACGAGCATGCATATCTCTCCACGGACGGATCAAGCGAATTGGGGCCGCTCTCGCCCTCCCCCCCCCATACATGTCACTCACGGGTTCTTAGTCCATAAACTCTTCTCACGGTGTCCGCCAGTGGCTCTCTTGGGTTGGTAGCGACCGCCTTCCTTTGTTGGACGAGAAAATCGAAAGGGGTAGGGTCCTCCCCTCCAGGCTTCCGATCGTTCTTATGTTCCCCCGAAACTTCTGGGACTGCGGCTTCGCTGTGTCTAGGGTTGTCGATGCATTCCCCATGGCCGGGATGCCCTTGTGGTCTTGGCTTCATGGGTCGAGGCGGTCGGCTCCTGAGCCGTGGGCTGTGCTGACACCCCCTGCCCCCCTATCCTCACAAATTGGGTGGATGCTCGTTCGCAACTACGCCGCCTCGCCGGCACTGGAGCCGTCACGACCCGTGCTGGGTGGCAACCTGTCTCACCACAATACCTGCTCTGTGTTGCGGTTTAGCTGTCCAAAAACAGCTCATTCTGGTCAACATTGTTCACCCTTCTGGTAGCTTCTGGTTCTGTCCTGTTGGCCTGGCCTCGTTGCGGCTCTCCTCCTGGACGGTGCCTGTGTTGACTGGGAGCTGCCCAAGCACCGAGGGCGGTGAACAAACCCTCCCCATCCGGTGCACTTGAACCAAAGTGTCCTGTTGTTTCTTTCCTTCGCAAAGCCACGCGACTGTTAGTTGGATGCAGGGTTTCTGTGGCAACTTTCGCCCTGACGCCCCAAGAATATGCACCACATGTGTCAGAACTGTAACCGATTGTTGAGTACATGCACTCTGTTGTTGGATGCACATCCAGGTGCGTCCCGTGCTGTTGAATTCTATCAATGCGGATGTATCGCTGTATGGTGTGCCTCGCCCCGCTCTGTTCTGCACCCATGAACATTCAAGCTTAAAGGGTTGGCAGATAGCTCCCTCAAGGTCTCTAGTTCTCTAATTGAGCGTGGCCAGAAGGGCAGATCCCTTGTGTTACTTGTCCTCTAGCTGCACTGGTTATCACTGCGAAGATCCAAAGACTAAGCGCATGTTGCAAAGACAGCACACATCAAGTACCCATCGGTTTGAGCTTCGTATTGACTAGTCTGGCCACCGGCACCCGATCTGCAGTCATTGAGGCTCCGACCAAAAACAACACTAAAGCAACAACACACCCGTGTTAACTGCACTGCAAACTGCCCTGTTAACGTACATACGCACAGTAGCCTCTGCGACCGGGCACAGCGAGCATTAACCTCGCGCTTGGTGGACGGGGTGTCCCTACTGTCCTTAGGAAGCGACGTCAGCGGGGTAGGTCAGAAGGGCTCGAGGTGGTGCGTGGTGTTCTGCAAGTGCCTCCGTTTCGTCCTGCTCTCCTTGGGCTTCGTCCGCTCCACTGTCTGTGGCCTCTGCCCCTTGCATGCGTTCCAGGTCGATAGCTTCGCACTCGTCTCCAGTCTCTCGCTCCGTCTCCTCCACCCCGTTGCCGTCAAGCTGCGTGGCTGCTGGAGGTTTATGTCTGCCTCTGTCTGCCTCTGTCTGTGTCGGTCGTCTCTGCTCCGTCTGTCTCTGTCATCTCCCTTGCCGTCCCTGTCGATCTCTGTCTGTTTCTGTCTGTCTCTGTCTGTGTGTGTGTGCGTGTGTATCTGCTTGTCCGTCGGTCCGTCAAAGTCGGTATGTTGCTTGTTCGTCCGTGCATGTCTTGGTCGCTGTGCTGCTTGGAGCCTGTGATTAGTGGTACTGTTCAGTTTTGTGAGTGTAGTTGTTCTCTCTGATATGAAAGACATTGAACCCACCATGACGATGTGTTTCCAAATTTAGCTTCGTGGACTTAGATAGGACCCGCCGTGAACCGTGTCTGTCAATGCAATCTGAGTGCCCTGCCTGGAGACTGGAGAGAGAGGTTTGCACTCCGAATCTCCTCGAAAGGCCAAGCCAAGTGTCCGGTTGCTCTAGAAGGCTTATCTCAGAGAGCACCTCACTTTGAGGTGATTGCAAACGGAGCCCAAAGTGCCGCAGCTCTGTAATCCTTAGCAAGACTACGCTCACGCTGGGAAACCATTCTACTGCATCTGCTTGCTTTGCAAAAGCGCAGCTCCAAAGCAGCTCGACCAACGACACACAACCAAACACACGCTATCTCAAGTGGTGCTCCGATGAGGAGGGCACGGTAGTGCGGACAGCTTTGCCGCAAGAGCTCTGGCTGTCGGGCCCTCCCGCGACAGCGATATACCCTCGGCCAGGTGCACCCGACTGAGGGCAAAACGAAGCAAACAGAATCAGCGTTGTTAATGCAGTACAGGCTTCTTTCTCGGCAGCTTAGTGTGCAGCAACACATTTACAAGACATCTTGCCTTCGAGTTGAGTGCGAACACAATCCAGAACATGCCGTTCTTCTCCACGGCAACCTCGTCTTTCGAGACATGGCTCGATCTGTGCCTGAAGCTCGAGAACTCAACCTTCACGTCCAAGCATGGCGGATGCGCTTGATCCCATTTGACAGCATCACCGATCTCGAGATTGTGGCTTGCACATAGCCACTCCTGACAAGGTGTCATCCAGCGAAAGCGTGGTAGGCAAGGCCGAGGCCTTCAAGGAATCTTTCATCTCGGCTTGCGAAGGTATTCTGACCTGCACCAGGTCGCGGTGCCAATGTCACGCTTCGAGGTCTAAAGAGTCTAAGGCCAGGCCTCTGCAGCTTCCATGCTGGCATAGCCCTCCCACGAAGAGGGAGATGGCTGCCTGCACTGCACCAAACCCGACAAGGCAAGCGGCGCATTGCGCAGCCTCGGAGGAGACTGGTGCGGCAGAGGGCCATTCCTCTGACAGCACAGTAGCGTGAAGCCGAAACCCCACCGAAGCCCCACCGACTCCAAAGTCGTTCGTCAGGGGCGCCCTCCTTGAAGAGGTTCAGGTTGCCCTGGCGGAGTTGGAAACTGTCCGTGCTTCAGGCCACGTCGGCATGGTTGCCACCTCTTGAACCCTGCGCAGACCTGGTGGGCCGGAAGGTGTCTTCTTCCAGAGCCATGTCTTCCAGCAAATGGTACGGAGGTGCCTCGGGTCACAGGCAACACAGAGGAGTGCCTCTGTCGCTCTGTCGCCAGACACTGGGGCCAACCTGCATCCTGCATGTGTTCCTGGCCAAACACAGCATGCTCGATCAGCGCAACGTACTTGGAGGACATGTCCAAAACTACAAATTCACTCTCGGGTTATAATGGAGCGACTCCGAGAAACGATTGGATGCCGTGGCAGGACTTGTTCGAGAATTTTCCACTTCGCTTCCTGTCCTTCCCCTGAAACAGCACAGGTGGATTGGTGCCAAGTTCACAATCCGTGCGCTTTAGTCGACATAAATGTGTGCTCGTCGGACACATCAAATATCTTCGGCGGCGCTGTTCAGCCGCTTAGGATCTCTGACGTTCGGCTTTCGAGATTTCTGGACTGGAGGTTGTTCGCAACTGGGAATCTAATTTTTCGGCTTCTACTTGACGAGGGCGAAGGCTGGTGGGGCGTCCGGAACAGCATGGGCTCTCCATCCGCTCTCCGGCGGAAGGAGCTCCCGACAAAATCGCGAGTCAAGCCGTGCACATTTTTCAATCGACTGCAGAGCCTTGTTCTTGGACTGCATCCAACCCAAGACGGCCAGGAATGCCACAAGCAGTCCTCATGACCCAAGCGTGTCCCATCCATATTGGAAGGATGGGCTCGTCTGCGCAGGGACTTGCATCCGGGAGCGAAAAGACTTAGGGCTGAATTCACATGCAACAAGTCACGGCTTCCGAGCTTGCGATTTTCTTAAGGGTTCATCTGTTTGACGCCAAAAAATGCGAAAACGCGAAAAACAGGAAAACGATCACGTACCCTCGCAGAAGGCCGCGTCCCTCTGTCTTCTTCCACTCAGCCAAAGGACAGCGCGTAAGCACTTCCTCGCACTTACTCTTTCTCTCTTGTCCGCTGCAGACATTTCGGGTGTTCTCATCGCACGGTCACACCCGTACGAGTTCACGTGGTGGAGAAACGGGCGTGACGTCCCCCTTCACAGCATCTCTATTCTCGTCGCTTTTGTCGAAATGTGCAGTGGTTGATCTTCCCGGTTCTTGCCTTCTCATAAATAGCTACAGTAGTTCCTCACTCGGGTCTCTGACAAACGGTACTGAAAGAGGTCCTCGCACCCGATGTATCGCCGCCCAGCAGAGGGTGCCTGGGCACCACCATGGGCTGCCTTGCACGGCAAACTTGCTGAGATCTTAGCTTCTGGAGAATCACAAGTTGCTGTCGGCCTCCAAGGGCTTCATGTGCCCCCTGAAATGCCAAGCTGACTGCAAACAACGATTTTGGTCGCTCTTTACGTTTCAGTGACCTACACAAATTTTTGAGAGCCGCAGTCCCCTATTCACCGAGTACTGCCAATTTTCTAGCCCTTCCACACATGGCAGCGGTCGCGATAATTAACGTGCTGTGAGCCAGTCGACAGCAGGCATGGTCTCACCCCGCAAGGACCTCATTCTAAAGCCCTGAGAAACTTGCTTCGCAGTTAGCGGATTTCGATGTGCCTTCGCTTTAAGCACTGTGATGCAGTGATGCCCTGCAGTTTCCGCACCACATGCGCATCCAGCAGTCTGCAGGCCCGGCATGCTCTCGGCTGTCAGGCCCCGCTCTTGTCACCTGAATCAGAGCCGTGACAAGAAAGGTCAAGATGTGGTTCGTCAGTTTGAGTCGAGGTGCCTTCGGGGGCAGCGCAAGCTTCTTGAGGCTTGCCCGCTTGTGCAGGCTCGTCTATTTGCATCGGGGAATTCTCCTTCTGCACTTCATGCCCCACTGCTGCTGCAGGCTGAGGGACGGATGCCATCTCAGGCGGTGCGGGGGGTGCTGCTGCGGGGCCGGCGGTGGGGGCATCCGCTGCGGGAGGTGCGGGAGGTGCTGTGGTGGGGGCGGCTGTACCTCCATTCTGGGTGTCGGTGCCTTCGCTGGCACCACCTTCGCCGCCTTCCTGTGTTTTGCTTGTGGTCTCTTCCTTCGTGGCCTCAACGCTCAGCTTGTGCTGTGCCACGGTGTGGCTCAGCCTGACGAAAGGCTTGACAAAGCTCTTGGACACTTCTTTCCCGCACCCTCTCCAGCCTAGACAGTCGTTCCTGGAAGTCTTTCACCTTCACTTGGCATGGTCCCAGACCCACCTGGTGGCCGGACAGCAAAACTGCTTCTACTCTGCGGAGTCTACAGAACGCAATTTCAAGGACTGCACGAGCATGTTCCGCTGCAGGTTGTACAAGCGCAATGACCGGACACTGCTTCACCACTGACGAAAGGACTCGAGTGGCTTCAAAATGCGGCAGGGCAGGCTATTGCAAGCTCTTCAGGCCTGGAGGGTGCTTTTCAGCTCCTGTGAGCCACACGGCATGCTACCAGCAGGCATGGATTCTCGCGAAAAAAGAAGTGAAGCCAAAAAAGCGAAAGCAAGACTCGCAAGAGACAATCTCAAACGATTCAGCTCCGTCCTCGGAACAGCCAGACTCAAGACTGCCCAAGTGCTCTTTGATTGCAGCCAGCTTGCCCTGCAACGTCACGTTGGGCGGAGACAGTCTGCAGCACATCTTTACCTCAGTCTTCGGTCCTTCGCCGTCTCAAGCAGCGTCTCTGCCTTCTCTGGGCCGGGCTTTGATACTCCACTTTCCTCGGCACGGCTCGAACCAAGATCGAAGGCAGACATGAAGCTTTTGTTCAGACAACGACACCGGAAACCTGGTATTGCAATACACTTTGAAGTCAGCCTTCACACAAAGCTGCACAGTGAAACGGACTCAACGACAGACTCCTTCGGAGTGTGTCAGGTAGCCTTTTGCACCCTGCATTATCTGTCCAAGTCCCACAAGGGCAAACGTCAGCTTGTCGTCAGCGCTGCGTGATGCGAAGTCGCGCTTTACGATGTAGATGGTCTGTCAAGACTCGCAGTGTCGATTGGGTGCGTCTTAGGTGGACCACAGGCAGAGCAAATGACCCGGGCGACAAACCGTCTGCCTGCCAATGCGATGGACTTGCCCTGCCGCTCGCCAATCACGTTTTCGCTGATACGCCCAGGAATGTAGCCCTTTGCACGAGTTGAGGTGGTTTTGAAGCAACTTCTTAAGGACTGCTGCATGCATGCTTGCTCCTATGCAAGCAAGCCTTGTAGCCATGGATTGGCGCTACTCCATGGTGGAGAACCTGTGAAACGTCTGGCACCTTCATGCCAAAGACCTGCAGCAGCATGAAAGGAAAGAACCGCCGCTCACAGAGCTCCGCATGCCTAGACTTGAATTGCTGCGTCAAGCGACTCCAGTGCTGGACACCTAACAGTATCCTGGGCCAAATTGGGAGATCATGGTAATCATGGAACTCTCAGCATAGACACGGCCAGCACTGAACTGAACATTACTCGGCTGGAAGAGGTAGTTGGCCAAATTTAGAGGGGTCCGGTGATTCAGCGACCACATCTGACAGCATCTTTCGCGGATGCTATAACCACAGACCCTTCGGAGTTGCTTTGGTAATGTCGTTTGCTTGGTTCGGCATTCTGCTGGGCCAATCCGGGCTACAGTATATTCTCGTTTCGAATTCACAGGAGCAGCGAGCATAAACGCACACAGAGACACGCACCGCTCTGCCTTAGAAATCTGGAACCGTGGTCCAATGCAACCAGAATGATCTGCACCTCGTGTCGTCCAAACGGTGCAGCTGCACCGGCTGGCAGGACATCTTTGCCCGTGACCTTGCACTCGGACCTGCCCGGAACAGCTCCAGACGATGAAAGACTCTTTGTTCTAGGCCCCGGCCATCCTTTGGCATGGTCCTGGTAGGAAGGATTCCGGATCGGCATCTGGTGACAGGGCTTCATATCGCGACATGTAGATGCTCGCACTGCCGCTGACACCACTCCAAGCTAGGTGGACTTCAGAGTGACTTCAGAGTCACTCGAGATCTTCTCGCTGCGAAACCATTGTAGCTTCCCGGAAAAAACGGAGGGACCCAGTCTGAGGGACCCCTCTACTGACGCGGCCTCGGCGATGGTGTCCGATGCAACAGGAGCTAGCGTCGTCCTGCCCTGGCAGGCTCACCAAGATGCGTCGGACGGCCCATACGACGGCCCACAACTTCATAACCAGTTTGAAATCGACGAATCATGTTTACCAAAGCCCTCACCTCCGTCATGAGTGTCCACGTTTTTGGAGCGGATGCTCGTGCTGCGAAGTGAGATGCCAAAGACGTCTCCTGCACTGCGCCGAAGTCCATCTGCACGGCTGCACGCAACGGCACGGGACTCCGCGCCTGCGTTTTGGACCAGGTCTCCGCGAAAGCATTTTCTGTAACCTGAGGAGATGGAAAACGGCGCTCTTTTCGCTTCCCCGCTTTCCAGCCTTGCCCGGGATGAAGCCCTGGTATCCAGGAATTGCTCGAGCAGCAGCTCCATGGCTTCGGAGCTTCCTGGCATGACACACACAGAAGCCACTAAGATCCTCTACACAGTAAGCATCTGTCCAAGGAAGCCGGGTGTTCCCCGCGCCGCCGAGGCCGTCGTAGGCAAGAGACCTGACGGGAGTTGGCCTTCTCAAGCTTCGCTTGAAACGGGGATGGAACTTCTTGGAGTGGGAGCACCGACTGTCACTATCAGACACTGTTGGAGGCAGGACTACCAATGACTGACAACAAATGCCTCGACGAGCCAGAAACCCGACGAGCCAGAAACCCATCTCTCACAGTTCGTCCCGCAATCAGCCGAGGTGACGTCAATCCCATGCCAGAATGGTAGTGATATTTCTCCTGCGCAATGGTCTGTCCGTGTCTGGAGTTGCAGCACAACCATTTTCATTATCCTGCTTCGGGTCCTCGTTGGACTCTGGGATTCGCGAATGAAGTGTGTCGCCAGCTGGTGGGTAGCTGATGCCACGCTTGTCATACCTACACATTGGAATATAAATCACGTAAACAATGCAGGCCGAGCTGCAGGCGGAGTCTGTGGAGTCGGGGGCACTCTGGAGCCCTTGTCGGTGGAATTATACTCCTCGGCTAAGCGGCTAGAGTCGTAAAGTGAGCGCTTCATGTCCAGGCTCCTGGTCCGCCGGTCTTGCTCTTCGCGCTGCAAGCGCATTGCCTGTCTCGGCTCTGTCACCGACTGCATTGGGCGAGGCCGGCGAGGCCGGCCTGAATGTCACAAGTCTTCTGGCTGCGCACGCCTTGCGCAATTCTCAGAGAACCTCATGCCAGGAAGTAGCCACGCTGTCGAAGTCTCCAGGCCAACCAAGGATAGGGCGACCAAAAGTTGAAGCGATGGCCTCGCCCTGTACGCGCACGGAAATACGTCCCACCAGCTTGCCAAGCACACTTGCTGACAGGAGCGCATGCACCTCCAAACGAACACTGGGAACATGACCCGAATAGCCAGGCCTCGACACGCAAGTCCGATTGTGTCATTGTCTGCCCACCGATAGCGAGCATTATCACTTTCGGCGTTTGCTCTGCTGGGCCGTGACCCCTGGCACCGAGGCCTATCGAACTTACCACGGGAAAAGTGTCTCGAGTTTTGCACAGGGTCTCGCTTGTATAGAGGGGCTTCCGCTCCAAGTGGGAAGCTCCGGAAGCGGCCCTTCCTCGTTGCACTTGGCAGAAACCCTATAAATCAGAAGCCTCTTGAAAGCCCTGGGCCCCAGGTCAACCATGGCAAGTCATCGCTGGAAGGCATCTGAGCTTGATGCAAAGCCGCGCCGATGTGGTTGCCAATGTTGCTCCTGCAAGCAAGCGTCCCCCTCTGTGAAGCAAAAAAATCTGCAACTTGGCAGCGTTCCTTCTCGTGTTGAGCAGCTGCGTGTCACTCCATGAGCGCATCATGGCCGCAGCGTTTAAGCAGGCTGTAGGGATTGATCTTCGGCTTCGCCAGTGTGCTGCCGAATTCCCGGATGACAGTTTGCAAGCTGAAGTGGTCTGAAGAAAAGTCGGCGTGACGTCTACAGGAAACATGGAAAAAACAAGCTGCACAGGCTGCAAGAATTCACAGAAGGCCAACATGAGCTCTGCTATGCTATGGGACACGCTAGACTCCACAAAAAGCTGTGGGCAGGTCATCTGTCAGCTCCTCCAGAAGGAAACCATGTGGCGCACACGTCGCAACACATTTCAACACTGTCGTGATGAGCTTGATGTCCTTGGCTGCGAGCTCAACCTCCTCGACAATGCCTACGGACTCCTGGCCATGCCCACAGAAATCTGTCTTCGACCCGAAGAAAGGGATCTCCTCCACGTACTTGGAGGCCGCCTCGAGCTTCGCCTGCACGGACTCGGCTCCGACAGACGACGGCAGCGACGAGTGCATTCTCGAGTGCTTTTGCATCACGACTCGTGCGGGTCTTGCACATCTCAGGTGAAGTCGGCAGTCATCGTCCTCCAATGGTACCCAAGACAAACCACTGTCGCAAGCACACCGTGTATGCAGGAGCATGTGTCCTGTGCACTAAACACTGGCAACAATCCCCACTCCCCACTGTCATTTTGCTGTTGCTGTGCTGCAGCTCTGGCACACACTTCAACAGAAACTCCCAGCAACTCTTCCGTGCAGAGCTGCGAGGACCACACATTTCTGGCCCATGGCGCTGAGTTTGCATCGATAGTATACATGGGCCATCACTACCAGCTTTGTGGGCCTTGGGTCATGTCACCGTGACTAAGAGCCTCCCTCGCGTGCAGACTCTGAGCTGCCAGCGGGGCTTCACTTCTTCGGTGCCACTTCTTAGCCAATGACAAACAAGGTATCCTTCGTGCATGGGCTCCCAGACAACCTGACCTGGGGAGCAGACCGGCCATGGACACTTCTCCGGCCAAAGCACCAGCCCGCAACTCCTCCATTACAGATTCCTGCGGGCAGATCTAGAAAACACCAATCGCATCTCTTACATCTCTGGTGATTGAATCTTCGGATGCCCCAGTCAATCTTCTTACCCTTCTGTGCCTTCTGAGGAGTTTGCTCCTCTGACTGGAAGGGCCACCACCACCACCACCAGCTAACCTCAACCTCTCCCTTGCCATCGACCTGAACTTTTATCAGGGTGAGCACGCAGCGAATTCAAACTTGCATCCAGCCTGCCTTGCGCGAGATCTTTGACCTTGCTTCTGGAACAACTCTCTGCAAAGACTGCCTGCCTGATGGCTGCAGTTTCCAGGGCGCTTGCCGTTCCACCAGCAACGTCTGCTTCAGTGGTGGAGCCGGTGCGAAGGTCGGATCTTCTGTGGACTCTTTTCGGAAGGGAGCCGGCGCAAAAATGGACGCATCCAAACCCTTGATCTCTGCAAGCGTCGCCGGAGCGTGCTGTTGAGCTTTGCCGAAAAAAGATTCCCAGATCTGGCCTCACAGTGTCTGTCTGAAGCAGCTTGCCATTCTGTGTGCGACAGCAAAGGGGCTCAAATGCACACTCGAAGAAAACTGGGAAGAGAAAACTTCTGCTTGTTAGGTCGCTGACAATGCTACAACACACGCGAACGACACAACCATTCAATGCTCCCTCCATTCTGTCTATGCCATAATGCTGTACAGTGTATAGTAGCTCTGACGTCTTTCCGGATCGTGTCAACCCACGTAATTCCATAAGAACGCATTGAATGCAAAGGACCGTGGTTAAGACGGTTAAGTCATGTTTGCCGACGGCACAGGATTGCACAACCCTCCAGGACAGATGTTGCAAATGTCTTGATTCTCGGCAATTCACACGAGGCATGTTGCAGCCAAGGTGCTGGGTGATAACCACCGCGGCAACCAGGAAAACCACTGTGCTTGTTGAGTCTTTTGGGAATCCATTGAAGCAGTGGATGGTGCGGCTGCAGGTGCTGCGGCAGGGGCGGCTGCAGGTGCAGCAACCCCAGGGCCCGGGGAAGGCATCCTTGGAGGTGAAAGCACCGGGCCGCTCCTTTTCTTCTCCTCCTTCTCCTCCTTCTCCCCCTTCTCCTTCGTCTGCTTCTTCTCCTCCTTCTCCGTCTGCTTCTTCTCCTTCTTCTTCTCGCTATGGGAGGCGTTCTCGGCAAGAGCTCCCTGGAATATCCATGTAGTGATGGTTGTGACTCACAAAGACTGCCGGCCACGCAGACAACGTTGCCTCGACGACTTCTTCTTCGGTAAGTTCCTGGCGATTGGCAAACTGTTGTCCCATGGATCCCGAAAGGAACAGCCACCACGCCTTTGGTTGCAAGCGGCCCACCAAAGCCTTTTAGCTGTAGGCCGATTCAGGAAGTCCCCGGCCCCCGCCCTGGCTTGAAGTGATCCGTCCGGGCCTGTACCTGTGAGGGCTGCGTCTTTGCAGCAAGTGCAGTCGCCAAGAAGCACCTGACAAAGACGGATGCATCTGCAACATACAGAGCAGGAAAGAGATCGATGGCAGGTGCTAAGATGCTCGCAAGACTGCACAAAGCTTCATTTGACCTCACTGACGCATGACGAAGCCAGACATCTCGATTCGGCTGCCGGGAAGGGACTTTCGGCTCAATCTTCGCGCAAGTCTGCATCCGTAGTGCTACCCAAGCGTTGCCAATGCCCAGCCCAAGCAGCATGTGTGCGAGAGACATCGAAACATACGGGATCATCTGGGGTGAGCTTGCCATTCCGGGTCTTTCCGGCTAAAGCTAGTCATTTCACTTCTACTGCTATCCTAAGCCTTTCAAGACTGGCAGCTGCAACATTAGCATCTCGCCCCTGGGAAGTAGTGGCTAAGTCGTGCTTCTCGGCCGATCTTATGTCACTTGTGGTCATGCCGGCTGCACAGCCCACAACGCCGTAGCTGCAGCTGAAACTTAAGCTCAGCCCTGTACACAGCAGCGTTGCAACTCAGTGTCGCCAGCATACTTGTTCAAGCAGCATGGCCCACAGTTGCACATGCGGCAGACTGCGCAGCTTCCACACATACATCCCACTAAGGGAGTGAAAGATAAACTTGAAGGTTCTGCGCCACACATCAGCTGAATCTCCTGCCAGTCAAAACCTGGCTCCAACACCGATTCGCACATGTGCTGCTTACAAAGCATTTGGCATCTGCGGGTATCTTGCAGTATTTCAGGCCACAGCGACCTTAGGAGCAACCAAAGACCAGCCGTACAAGCCCAAGGACAAGAAGATGGCTGTCACCTGATGCGGTCAGCAAGCTGCTGACAGCAATCGACATGAGATTCGTCATGCATCATCGCGGGCACCCGCAATGCATATGTTGTTGCGCTTGTCCTGCAAGGAGGCAAGCTTGTTTATGTTGCAGGAAAGCTTGACAGCAACTGAAACAGCCCTGCACACGTCCTTGGCGCAAGCGATGACGCTACGTAGAGCGCAGCAGCTGCATGAACGGCACAATCAGCACCGAAGACCCGTGCCTGTACCACGAGAGCTTTTCTCAATAAGTTTGCTCAAAACGTGCCATGCCGTTGCATGGCTAGGCGCGGGTGCCTCTGATGCAGTCATGGTCGTTGCTTCAGCCTGCAGCCACTCAACAGCACCTTACAGGCAACGGCAGCGTTCTCTGGCCTCCGCTGGTGTAGCCTCGTGCGGGTGCCAAGATGATTGATGGAACACTGTCCGAATCTTGTTGCAGCAGGCCTCACTAGCTGCCTCCGCTTCAATCAAGCTACGCGGGCGCGCTTCGGCCTGAAGCAGTCTGTTCCAACTTCCCTTTCGAGGGACACAACCCTTGCGCTTCAGGCAAGCACTTGCTGCCCAGCAGTCTCCTGTGACTGCCGGAAATGTTGCAACAGATGAGAAGCCGCACTTTGCTTCTAGCTGCAGCGCTGCACATCAAGTGCTCCTCCGTGTTTGATCCCCAGCCACCCACGCCCGCAGTGGTTGACAGCAGAGAAAATGCGCAGAGCACAAGGCCAGCCTGGGCTCCGGGGCTTGTAAGTAGCGAGGTAAAGCTAAAGCGCGCATCTCTTCATCTTGTGTCAATGTGCCTACTTTTGCTTCTCCTCCTCCTCCTCAACATGCACCATGCCTTCTCATTGCAGGGCTTAAATAAGTTGAAAAGATGCTTTAACATATTGTTTCTGCTGTGGAGGGAATCCGCACAACTTCAGCCACGGTCTGCTGTTCCACTTGCGCAGGGTCCTCTTCGATCATTTTTTCTTCTCTACCCATGAACCCACCCATGCCCCCCGACTCAGAAAAAACAATGCAAGCTTGTATCCAAAGCTGAAAAAATTTACCGCGATATGCACGCAACACGCACGCGAACACAGGTCCACGGCAGTGCACGTCTGCACAACACACTCGAAACCATTTGTGATAACGGCTTGCTACATGGCCCATGTGTGCCACATTTCCTGATGTCCGCAATTACCCCTACAACTCTACAAAGTCTGGCGTGCAAACACGCGAAAGCTCGTACTTCGGACGTCTGCATGCGCCTGCCCCTGCTCACACTGGAACTGTTGATTGGACCCCCTGGCCTTTCAGTATTGAAGCTGTCTACTGCCATCCAGTCGCTACTTTCCTACCGACTTTCTGGTGACTTCCTCACCCAGCCGCGCAATCTTTCCATTAGTGCAATGGACCAAGCAAGCTACCCCCTAGTGACTGCACCCCAAAAAGAGCACAACTGATGGGCATAGAGCAGGCAAGTTGCTGCTAGCTCGCTAGCTCTGAAGGGACACACGGCCCTGAACAATGCCCCACGCTGCAGCTGCTACATTTGAGGCCGATGGATCTGTTAATTCACGTGCGCAAGTACAGCTGTCTACTTTATGGCTCCGCCACGGTTTGCTCAGGTGCAGCCGCCACAGAGGGCAACATGCATTCCGACGAGGCAACACGTTAAGGCAAATGCTCGCCACTTCACATCCTAGCCTGCGCGGCCCTATTGTCATGTGTTCATGTGGTCTGCTTGTGCCGGGGAATGATGAAACATTGTTCTTTCCCCCTGGCGACAAGCACCACTTCGTTGCTGAAAAGCGAAAGTATTCGCTTGGACTCTCGGACGTTCTTTTCTCTCATCCCGAAAGTCTTGGAGCGGTTTCCGGTCTGCGAACATGTCCACGACCACGACAGAACTGGGGTTGCAAGTCCAAGAGCGACTGGTGCGCACTCCCGATGCCGTCGAAAAGCGACAGCATCGCGACCTTGCCTGTTTTGTGCGCCGGTCTTTGAGTAAGAGTCAGGTAAGTAGTGGCTTATTCGACAAGGGATAGGCCCGTATCTGATAGGGGTCTATATGAAAAGGCATAGACACCTATCCCACCGTGCCTATCCACTAGGCCATAGACCCCTCTGGATAGGGGTCTCCCTGGATTCGGATAGCTACCTGTGCCTGGGGGGGCCCCTTGGCGACACAGGGGCCTATACATAGGGGGCTATGGTTTGGGGATAAACCCCTATGACGCGCATAGACCCCTGTCGTTTTCTCATGGGGGTCTATTGCCACCTTCTCCTGTCTGTGTCTCCCTAATGCCAATCTCGTGCAGGCAATAGGGTAGCAGCCATCAGTAGCAAAGCCAGAACGCGATGGTGTGAATACGCATGTGCGTATGCAGGATGCAATGGTGTGCATGCACATGCAAGAGAATACTTTGTTCTGCGTTAAAAATGGTGTGGGTATCAAGGCTGGGAGTTTCGAGGCTGTAGGCTCAGGAGCTGGAGCGCCTCTCATTCCGGTCATCATACATGTTCAACACGCCCGCTCATTTGGCGATAAATGTGCATCATATACCTTAGACACGTCCACAGACTTGGCGACAACGGTTCACGCCCCGCATTTGGCGACAGCGTTTCATCATATATCTGAAGCACACCCTCTTTCTTGGGATTCCGGAGCCTCATATGGCGATAACGGTAACGGTTCATCGCA